TATTTTATATGCTATCTTGCAAAAATAATTTAAAATGTGATTGAAAGTCAGAACTTCGGACCCCTCAAAAAAGCCTGAATGGAAGGAGTGAAAGGTGTGAATCATAATATATCAGTTGCAAATTATTGGAATGGAGAACTGTAAAGTGGAATATTAAGTCGATTTTCAGCAAGTGATGTAGGGAATAAATGGACAGGGATCTCGATAATGGAATGATTTTGATATAAAAAGGGAAACAAAGCATAGTTCAGTTTTTCAGTTTTCATTTGCATTTCAGAAATCAGATTCTATAAGGCTTGCAATCATTAAGTACACCAAAATCAGAATTTACCTCTATAAGATGGAGGGTAAAATACTATTATATTTGTTACTATCCAGCTTGACATATTTTTAGTGGGAAGTTTGTTACAAAAATTTGTCAACAAATTTACAATTAAATTTTAGGGATAAACATTGCAATGAAAGAAGAACTCACCAGCATAGTTGAAAATCATCATCAATACATTTACAAACATTAGCTTTCAAAGATTTTAATGTATTGGACAAGTATATCCATGGTTGCTTTTAGAAGCAGGCAGCTACTAAGATAATTTTTTGCTTACCACCTTCTCTCCCCATTTTAAAAAGAAGAATTCAGTGAGGAAGTGAGTTTTCTAATATACTTTTTCTGGGTACTATTTCTTTCTGAATTTGTTTTTTTTCTTGAGAGGGGGTGATTGTGTGATGATTTTTACATTATGAACATATCTTGAAAAATTAGAAATCAGATGGGTTTAACGCTGATTACATAATGCTGCTATATATTTTACACCAGTTTGATCACATTTTAGCTCCAACTCAAGCATAATTTACTGAGTCAACATATGATGGCTTTACCTAATTGTAGAAAATTGAGCTTATTGAGAGCACTCAGTTCAATTTTTACATCAGACAATATTTAAATTACATTTCATTTTGTGGTGTTCATTACTTCATTCTATTGCCTCCGGTGGCTTAGTGGAATCGAACCCCAGTCGAGTCATGCCAAAGACTTCTAAAAATGGTACTCAGCATTCAGAGGTTAATGTTAGGACTGGTTGGCCTGGCATCAGGATAATGTGACTAGGTGGGACATGATGCTATATGTCTGTGGCATGATGCCCCTGTGCATCACTATAAACTGTCACACTGCAGACAGCATGGCAATATGACTGAAAATGTTTAAAGCTATGTTAAAAATCCAGTCACACACACACCAACACACACAATGCTTGCCACCAAATACTGCATCTACCTCTACTGCTATTTAGCTACTTTTAGCAGTTCACTTCCTAAGCACAGCTACTTAGCGTATGATCAGACTTCATGTTCATCCATGCAGTTGCTTAGTTACTTGCACCATACTCAACCTGTGTATATTCCTTAGTCTGTTTGTATCTTTTTTTCCTTTATAAACTAGACAGATGTATCAAACTTAATGATTGCATTGCAAATAAGATACATATACATGTATAATGTATATATCTGAGAAATAGACATTTTACTACCAGGTGGGTATGGTGTAAATATGTAAAGAAGTAATAACCCTTTAACTTTATCTGTCAGAAAATAGAATTCTTAAAGGGAGGACTGTATGATATTTTTTTCTGGGTCTCTAAGATAGCAGAATTATGTTAAGGAAGAATTATAAATGTATACTGTCACCTGTATAATACAGGGATGTATACTGTCACCTTCAATGTTTTCCTGGAAAGTTTCATGGAGGATGCCTTGTATGACCATAAGGGCACTGTCAGCATTGGAGGAAGAACAACTACCAATTTTCACAGATGATATTGATGGTTTAGCAGGAGATGAAAGAGAACTGGCTGACTTCGTTGAGCACCTCAACACAACCTCCACAGCATACAGTATAGAGATTAGTGCAACAAAAAAAAACTGATTATATATTTTTTCTGGGTCCTCTGATAGCAGAATTTTGCTAACAGTGGGATTATATGTTTTCTCTGGCTTCTCCTTATATCAGAATTTTATTAGGGAGGGATTATATATTTTTTCTGGCTCATATTTTGCTCAGGAGGGATTATTCCAGTACTGGTGAGGGGAAATAGGTAAAGGATGGTGTTTGAAAAAATGAAGTTGTTGAATGCTTCATTAAAATTTTGATATTAGAAAAAGGTAATCAGAAAACCAAAGATATTTTTATTAAAAATTCATACTTGCAGAATGCTTCCATTATTTTCTTTCTGGTATTTTCAACTTGTAAAAACTGTTGACATTGAAGCACTCATTTAAAATACTTTGTATAACTGCCGTTATGTTAGAGGAATCATTTACTTTTTATGGTACTTTTGGCAGAACATATGCTATGTTAACATTCTAAACCTGTTTTACCATAATCAATAAAATGTCACTATTATTTTAGCCTAATTTTAAGAGCTGAAAATGCATTTTTCTCAGTGACTTAATCTTATTTATCACTTTTTCTTTTGCTTCCAGATCTACTGGTACAGACAAGGTGATCTGGAGCCAAAATTCAGGAAAATGATTTACTTCAATTCTCTTGCAATTGTCTTACTGTGTATATGTGGAAACTTGTACTTTCATGAAGTTGGATTTGGCATTAAAAAAAAGTGACAAGTTAATATTTTGTGGGAAATCGATTCCAGATTTGTTGTGCTCTGTGAATAGAAATAATGCATGAATGATTTAAAAACATTACCAATAGTTGTGTTCATTATGTCTATTTTGGCCAGCTTGATATTGTTGTATCCATGCTTGTTATTGCATTGTTATCATTGTGATTAAAATATACTTAACATGTTATGCACAAAAATGTACTGGAATGTTAAGAGGGCTTAAAGTTGAAGATGGATACAAGTGCTAAACATTACCATTAATAGTATCAAGTGATATTTCTTATAACTAATGTTCACATATTAAATTGCATCTCTCCCACACTTTTTTGTAGGTCTCGCTAAATCTACTGTATATGACATTTTACCCTTTCCTTGAATGCTGATCACTGTCCATTATGGAAACAACCAAACATTAAATTTTATATCGATCTTAAACCCACTGCATTAAAGTCACACTTACAGCCTTTTTAACATTGCAAACAAACTTAAGCACAGAGCAGATCATGTTAAAACAACTGTAAAATTTTATTGATTTGAACCTTTGTCACCTCATGACCTATTGGTTATGTGTTAACTGAACTATAAATGTGTCAATGGATACTCTTAACATGCAGTTTTATCTTTCTTTTTAACCTAAATTAAAGAAACTGAAAATAATTACAAATCATATATGCAGAGAGAGATCCTTCCATGATTTGTCATGGCTTCTTGTGCTTTTTATTGTATATACACCCCTCCCCAGATCTTGACCTTGTGGTTGCAACCCAAAATAGGTTACATAATTACATATCTTCCTGCTACTAGTCTTATGGTGTTACTGGTCATAAGGAAAAGAGGTTAATGAATCCCTTTTGTCCAGTGACTTTTAGCACAAGTTTGTTATTAGTACAACTCCTAAACTGCTGGGAGATTTGTCATCAAACGTTCCAGAGTTGTCCAATGATCCAGACAACAACTAGTGTCTCTTGGACATCCAGTATGCCTGCCATAGTGGCCCTCTTGAAAATCTTGTTTGTGGTACTAAAGAGCTGTTTATATACATGTGGTTTTCACAGCATGATACTTAGTGGAGAGGTCATATTGACATGGAATGCTGGAATGAAATGAGGATTTGAGACCAACATACATGGCAGTTTGTTTTGTCATGGAGCAGCTTAGTTTGTACTAGACCGTTGGTGGGTGGGTTTATGTGCAATGAGGGTGGGTTGTGGTTGTGATTGTGATAGCTTAGCAACAGGTTGTCAGCTATTACCCTATGACAACTGTTACCAACACAAAAAGTAGAGACACAAGGTAGTAATGAGTATGTGTCTGAGCTGCTGGGTGATAGCAGGTTATCTTGTGTCCTTTATATTGTAACCAGGTCCATGTTGGCTTTGCAACAGGCACATATGTCATTAATGCCATGCTGGTAGCATGCAGTTGATAGGTACCTCATAAGGCTGTCCATATGTTTAGCCAGGTCTTGGGCCTGTGATACTTTTAGTGTGGCAGGATGCTTATTCCATGTCAACCCTGATAGCCTTCAAAGGCTGGTCACAATGATACTTCTGTGCATTTCAACCTTGCTGGCAAAGTGTCTGTTGAATTTTACAAAACGTATTGCTGCTCACTCTTTTCTGTAACTTAGTTTATTTGATGTCTGTGTTTTTAGATGACACTAAACATCTTGTAACTACATTGGTAAATTGGGACAAATATAGATGAACTGATACGACAGTGCTATATTTGGATACTTGTTAAATTCTAAAAGAAATAATGTTACCATTATTCATATCCGTCAGTTATTTTGTTTTATTGAGTACAATGCAAAAATATAAACCAAGTATTGAATAATAAATCCACCATGAAAGGTATATAACATAATGAATGCAAAATCATTTTAGTTTCTTTGCCAGATTTCATCTCGCAATGACACATACGTCCTGCAGCAATGCGTTCATGAACAATACCAGGAATGAAGAAATCCTGGCTGGTAATTCTCAGAAGTCATACAATGAAAGATACGTTAGTTTGTCTACTATTAGTACAACTAAACGAGTGACTCTAATATCTACTTCGTGCATAGATGCGCACCCAATACGATAAAGACTACAATATGATCTTCCAGGAGATAATACGCAACCAGATCAGGATATTTACCATTCGCCTAAAATCATTAATGGAATGAAGTAGAAATTTGTTTTGCTGAGAATCAAGACCTGAGTCGACTCTGCTGAAATTCGTTGAGTTCTGTACACAACACATAGCCATCTTAAGGTTACTGGTATATGTATTTGTCAAAATGTAAGTAAAAGCTACCTATGCACTGTAATCCCCTTTTTTAGGAGTCTGGCAATGAAACTCATAGTGGATTAAGAAATAACACAAATAAATAGAACCGCTCTTACGACCTAGTGGTTAGAGCGTCCGCCTCGGATGCGGGAGGTCGTGGGTTCGATCCCCCGCCGAGTCATGCCAAAGACTTACAAAAATGGTACTGACAGCTGCCTCGTTTGACGCTCAGCATTAAGAGGTTAGTGTTAGTACTGGTGGGCCTGGTGTCAGGATAACGTGATTGGGTAGGGCATCCTGCTATATGTCTGCGGCATGATGCCCCTGGGCTTGGACATCAATATAAATTGCCTTACTGCAGACATCGTAGTTATGACTGAATTTTTTTTAAAGCTACGTTAAAATCCAAACCACATTAAATAAAAAGAGGATCTCAATTAAATAATGCTGTCTTTTTTTAAAATGAGTTGAATAATCGTGTTTTCACGAGCTTTGCACGAAAAGAAATTGAATTTATCCAACGTGTTTCACTACTTTAATATTAAATCATTACCATCTGAGTTTATGTTTATCACATAACGTTTGTTTTTGCCCAGATCAATATTTTATTTGTCCTACCTTGTCCGCGGCCATCCTATTTAAGTTTTAAAATCTGTTTTTGTAATCAAAATAGGTGAGTTGTAAGAGCACTAATAATGATACCACTGTGTCTTTCTGTTTTAATTCAAGGGCAAATTATTCCACGATACTGGCACTTGGCACGCAGATGAAATTTTTCTCTAATAGTGAAAACAATAAGAGTAGGAGTATCAGAAGAGGAGAGTAAATTTTTAGATGGGGTGTACACATGGGTAAGGTCAGATAAGTATATTAGACTGGAACATATATTGTATTTGATTCTGGATGTAATATGTAGCTAGTGAATATTACACAGCAGGAGAAAGTGTGCTCAATTCTTTGTATTGTAAACATGATCCGAGCAACCATGCTTTTACTATTTGAAGTGAATTAGAATGGAGCTGACGCATCTCAGTCCAAATATGCAAGTTTGCATATGGTTATTACATGTTGGTGCTGATATTGTTAATACTAATTGCTCGAGACAACAAATGTAAATGATAACGTGTTTGCGTCTTAATTAGGATGGCATACAGTTTTATTATAATTTATGTGCAGTTTGTAATATGACATCCATAAATTCACATTGGAAATGCACCTCTCTGTACATTGGATGTTAACCTCAATTTCAATTACACCGCCAGATTTGTAATTAGAGTAATATTGTATTCTATGACATGAGAGCTGTTCAGAGTGCAGAATAAAGAGAAATGGGCCTTGTGGAATATCAAAACATAGTTCAACTGGTCTGGAATGTTTATTCATTTAATGACACAAGTTGTGTCTTATTGACTGAGTAGGACACGAGTCATAGAAATACTGTAAAGTGAAATACTAAATAAATGCTGGAGACCGTGAAGTATTATATCATTGTCAATTGAGTCAAATGTTGCAGACACGTTATGGAGGTAAAGACGGCAATCTTTCAACTATCTAAAGCAGAAAAAGGGTCGTTAGGTATTCTCACTTTCTGTACTAAAGAGAGGATGATGTATATACTGTACATTGCTAAAAAAGACTACTTGAATGTGGATGATATACAAGCTGTGATGAAATAACTTTTTCTAATATTTTTGACATGAAAGAGAGTTTTGAAAAAATACAGTAGTTATTTAAATCATTATCGTCAATCGTCGATTTCTTCAACAGGGGCTTAAAAGTGGCAGTTTAAACGAGTGCTCTTTAAATAAGAAGTAGAAAATAATAAAATACAACAAGCTTTGTAAAATTTAACAAATATTTTTATTTCCCTAGAGCACAAAGTGAAAATGAGAAAATACAACTTACGGCATAGCAAATTAAATCCCAAAATAATACAAAAATTAGAAACAAAAGTTCTAGTGATTTAAAGTACTGACAAAAATTTAGTAAAAATCCGGAACTGAAGTCTATGACGTCTTCTGTGGTAGCTATTAAAGTGTTGATGTATCAAATATTTTTTGTTGAATCACATAAATATAATTCCAGGATTTAATATACTAAATTCCAGTGAATGTGTCTGTCCAAGAATTTTATCAGAATACGTTTGTATTTACAGAGAAAATAATCACTTGAATTAAAACTTTGAACAAAACAGATTCCAGCCCGAAATTACTGGTCTTAACGTATAATATACAACTTGAGAATGCTAGATATCAAAGCACGAATGACCAACTCCTCACAAGTACAAGATTATATAATTCTCTACTTGTCTTCAGGTCACAATTAGTCGGGTCAAGCAGAAATGTACTGAGTTTTGGAGAAGGTCATGTCCAGCATAAAATGTTACAACAGCAAGTAATAACAAAATATAGTATTTCCCCGTATTAGACAGAAAAATGAAAACATCGGTTTGTAAGTAAGTAGACAAGCAGCAACGAATCGGATCGAGTTTACATGACCTTGGAGTGCTCGTCATCATAAATGTACGTACCATATCCATAGAGATAGGTTCGGATGCTGTTAAATGTTGCCGTATATATTCCTTACATTACTGTATGGTGAAGATGAGTCATTTGTAATTATGGTGTTAAGCCTATCTATAATGAATTCAACTTTGTGACGGAAGAAATCCGCAGACAGGTCGACCGGAGAAAAGTTCGTTGGAAGTAATGTACATTTACTCCTCGACTTGAGCTTGTTCGTAATCTCGGAGAGCTCTTTTCAGCTGGAACTTCCAGTGATCTTATTACTGTAGTAGGAGGCTGATTTTGCTGCATGTGACATTCATCCTAGCAGCTTCATTAATCTGCTTATAAATAGTGAGACTGTCGGAAACTCAAACCTTCTGGCGATGTCTTTTAGCAGTGCTACTATACCAAGGAGAACAGTGTTGAACTGATACCTTGCACTTGGTTGCTGGGTAATATCGACTTCACCACAGTGTGGAGAAATTTACACAACAAATTCACCGGAGATGTGTGTTTTAAAACCATTCACGATATTGTGCCAGTAAATTATAACATGTTTCTTAAAAACATCGCCAAGTCCAAATTTTGTACGTTTTGCGGCGGTATTGAAACAACCGACCATTTATTTTTTGAATGTGATTTAGTTTTCCCCCTTCAACGTCTTGTAATTAAATGGATCAAACAGCTCTCAAGAAACTCATTTAACACCTTCTACTCTTTTTTAAAATTTGGCCTCCTCCCTAAAGAGGCTACCTTTCCGAAGCCTGATTTCGAAAACCTTTGCCTCCTTTTATCAGCAGAATACAAATATGCCATCTGGTGCAAACGTGTCCGTGCCTATTTTTATAAAGAAACGGTAACATCCAATACCCTTCTTAACTTTTTCCTTCACCGCCTAAAGTGCAGAATAAGAGCAGATTTTCATAGATATAATGTTGTTGAATTCCTTGATAAATGGTGCCAAGCTGGCCTTTTCTGTACGCTAAACAATTTCAACTTAGTCATTGACTTAAGTTTATGATCGCTTTTTTGTCAATTCTATATTTATTTGTGTTACATGCTAGTTAAGTATAATTATGTAAAATTTGTATTTTCCATTTTACTTCAACCTCAAAATGCGTTAAATGTACATCTGTTAACTTCCTTGTACATCACCTTTAAAATGTATATCATCACTGAAATGTATATTAGTATGCAAGTATGTATGTTTTCTTTTCGTGTATGCGTGCGTGAGTGATCAAGTGTTAAATCAACACTTACGTTCTATTTATTTATTATTGTATAATACCATATGCATGTCATGTATTGTTACATTTGTGTTATGCATTCTTGAATAAAATTTTATGAAAATTAAAAAAATAATTGTCACACAATAAACGCAAGCACTTATCAAGTTGTACTGCTGTAGTATGTAACGAAGTTGTAAGGTTTGCTTGGATGTGATGCATTAGTTGGGTTCTCTTTATTATATTGAAGTTTCTCGTAGTCACAGACAGAGATGGAAGGTTAGGAACGGATAAGATGAGGTGGCAGGTGATGATTAGGAATTTCGTGGAACACCAATGAGGAGTTTAAACTATCATCATATCTATGCAAACTCCAGTGTAAAATGTGACCCTGTTTATGGGTGGGTTCCCTAACTGACTATTTGAGGCTGAAATGTTAATAGCATTTACGATTTTTGACGTGTATGCATTTCCAGGACAGTCAAAGCAAAAGTGGAAATCTCCAAGAACGTGTATGGATTTTCAGGACAGTCAAAGCAAAAGTGGAAATCTCCAAGAATAATCAGGATTCCAAACTTATCTTTAAACAGTGCGAAGCCGGTTCCAGATACTACTTTATAATGGCGAAGACCTTTGAATATGAATGGTTTTCAAGGAGATATTTAATCGGCTTGTTTTTCGACTAGGAAGAGCTTAATGAAAGAATATTTGACACGAACATCTCATAGAAATTACTATGTGATGTTACAAAATTCACTTTGTTTGGTTGCCTGGAGTAGCTGAGGTGCCAAATATTCATGGATCAACGTGAATGTTGCAAGATTTGAATTTAAAGTACGTCAATTCCACCTGTTACGACCCTGTAGTTTAATTCTTTCTATTTTATTTTTATTTCATTTTTTAATTTTCATATCATTAAATGTAATTATTATTATTATTATGATGATTATGTTCGCAGGGTCTGATATTTTGTTAGAAACATCATGCTTGATTAGAACGTAAATGTGACTCGTGTAAGCACAATTTTTGTATGACTGTTTTGTCATATCAAGTCAACAGTCGGAAAAGCTATGCAAATTGGGTGTAACCACGGTCAATACTAATAATACTTGTAGATTCTATACTACGTTGGCAGTGCTGTGAAATCTTCATGATTTATTCATCCTTGTGTATGGGGTGATGTATTAGTTTGCTTTAAAATACTCAGGTGGCTGCGAAGTAGTCTAGAATCGTACTTTAACATTTTAAAGAGTCACATGATAACATCATATATGGTTTCTAATACCTTAAGAAGAAGGTATTGCTGTGCTGGAAAGAGTTGTTTGTTGGTACATTTGTAGAGCAACATGTGTTTTGTTTTCTTGATAACTGTACTTCATCTACCTTTTCAAGAATAATTATTTTCCCTCGACAACTACACGACTGGCTTTGGACAAAGACATTTTCCTGAAAT